CTCGTAATGACAATACGAGGGTTTACTTTTTTTAGTCATAATTTTATTGCTGTTTGTGATCCAGAGCAATTATAAATATTCGTTATCAGTAGCTCTTCATAATTCACATTAATGGCGTCGAGTGTTACTGGACTATTTGATACATTCGTCTAACTACAAACAGGCCTTCATGATCTAATTAGTCAAGTCTAAATGTGAGACTGACGTGTACGTGTAATTCTTTCATTGCTATCCAAGCGTGTTTGTTGTTGTTATCAAGAGCGATAACTTCTGATTTTGTTTTTAACAAATGGGAAGTTCCCGATTTAAAAAATTGCTGATGTTACCTTTGTTTGTGTGTAGATACGTCAAAAAGGGGGGGGGAGGTAATTAAGTGGCGACTTTCTAATTATACGTTATCAGGGGTTCTACTTTTTGTAACATAATCGTTCTTAAAAAAAATTAAACATACTAATTAACATAACGTGTTAAAAAATTACATTTACAAACTATTTAATTAAGCAATATTATTCTAAGCAAGAAGCCGGACTATATATATATATATATATATATATATATATATATATATATATATATATATATATATATATATATATATATATATATATATATATACATGTAGTTACTGGTTTATCAATTATTTTTAAAATCAAACTTTTATTTAATTAATAGTATAACTATAACTCCAAAAGGAGGCGCTAGGGGCACGGTCATCTTGTTGGGGGGGGGGGGGAGTCGGAATTTAAATAGCGGCGGATCATAGCGATGTGTGTGATGCCTTAAACAGTGTAAATATCTAATTATACGATATCAGATTCATGGAACTGTGAACTATTTCCTAACCCCTGCTTCCTTTGTGTGAACAACAGCGTTTATATGCTCTACAAACCATCATTATAATACTATGTCAATTGCTTTTAAACCTAAATAAAATACATAATATTGTCGGACGTAGGTTTTAACGATATGGGAAGTAAATGATTGTTACCTGAACGCTATTTTTTTTCTTTATTACGTCTTTTTTTATTTTTAATTTGCGCATACCCACTTCAGGAGCCTATTGACCAACCCCATACATAATGACGCGTTGTCAGTTGTTAAAAACGTGTGCTCTAACCCGACGTACAACATTAAAACAAGCAACATTGAAACAATCCACCCAACAAGCTGAAGTTTGAGAGTCCCTCTACTAGTCACGCGGGTCGTACTCTGTACATCTTTTCTACTATGTAAAACTGTTGACATCGCTATAGATAATCTGTGATAGAATTAAAGCTGTTGACATCACTATAGATAGTCTGTGATAGAATTAAAACTGTTGACATCGCTATAGATAGTTTGTGATAGAATTAAAGCTGTTGACATCACTATAGATAGTCTGTGATAGAATTAAAACTGTTGACATCGCTATAGATAGTCTGTGAGAGAATTAAAACTGTTGACATCGCTATAGATATTCTGTGATAGAATTAAAACTGTTGACATCGCTATAGATAGTCTGTGATAGAATTAAAACTGTTGACATCGCTATAGATAGTCTGTGATAGAATTAAAACTGTTGACATCGCTATAGATAGTCTGTGATAGAATTAAAACTGTTGACATCGCTAAAGAAAGTCTGTGATTGAATTAAAACTGTTGACATCGCTATAGATAGTCTGTGATAGAATTAAAACTGTTGACATCACTATAGATAGTCTGTAATAGAATTAAAACTGTTGACATCACTATAGATAGTATGTGATAGAATTAAAACTGTTGACATCACTATAGATAGTCTGTGATAGAATTAAAACTGTTGACATCGCTATAGATAGTCTGTGATAGAATTAAAACTGTTGACATCGCTATAGATAGTCTGTGATAGAATTAAAACTGTTGACATCACTATAGATAGTCTGTGATAGAATTAAAACTGTTGACATCACTATAGATAGTCTGTGATAGAATTAAAACTGTTGACATCGCTATAGATAGTCTGTGATAGAATTAAAACTGTTGACATCGCTATAGATAGTCTGTGATAGAATTAAAACTGTTGACATCACTATAGATAGTCTGTGATAGAATTAAAACTGTTGACATCACTATAGATAGTCTGTGATAGAATTAAAACTGTTGACATCGCTATAGATAGTCTGTGATAGAATTAAAACTGTTGACATCGCTATAGATAGTCTGTGATAGAATTAAAACTGTTGACATCGCTATAGATAGTCTGTGATAGAATTAAAACTGTCTGAAAACACTGAGAGCTCACAACACAATTGATCTTGAGAACGTCCATGGGTAATTTACATTGTGGTGTTACTTTATTTACTCACCTTACTCTTCATCAATTGGTTAAAATATAATTGTGTTATCAGGTTTTAGCACATCAGTATGTTTAATTTTAAGGGAATGTTAATTTTCACCGGTTGCAGAAAAAATAATATGGGTTTAAATAAACTAAAAAATATTAAAATATGTATTCTATAAAAAAATATTAGATATGTATTAATATAGCGAAAATAAATATATCGATATTTGAAAAAATAAATCTAATATATTTTTGGTGATTGCCTTACTAATAATTCGAAACTTTAATCGATAGGCACTAAAACTTTTTTAGGTAAGGTATACATGTCTTATTTATTTATAGTTTATAAACAGTAATAAAACAGATAGTGTTAATTACCTCACAGTAGTTGGTTCAGAGGCGTAGCTATGTCGGGGCAGGATGTGTTGAGGGGGGGGGGGGAAGAGTATACGTTGCTCTATACTCTTTATGGTGACTACTCCTATAACTAATACTCCAACTATAACATGCGAGGAGGACGGGGACACGCTTATTTTCCGACGACACTGAGATTACAATATCAACAACTTCGATCATGAAATAGAATAAACTTTATTATCAAATACTAATACTACACAATATAAAAACACGTCCTTTTCCTACAATGGCTAGCCCCCAACTGTCTTCACTCCTACGTCACAGGAACATTGTCGTGTCACGCTCACGTCACACTCTCGCTACAAATATTTTATTAAACACGCGCACAATACTCTCGCACCAAATCGTCTACCGCCAAGTTCACGCCGTCCTTAATAGTCTGTACAGTTTAGTTTTATCTCTTCTAAGCTATGACACAGAGGGTGCGGACCGCACCGGGTGACACCCTTTAGGGACGTGACACCAAGGCAAAAAAATTGCAAACTGTACAGATAACATAGTTGTTATTAAGTGATTAAAATGTATACTCATGCATGTAATCGTATGAGGCATATATTTAAATTGTAGGCGTATGTATGCAACACACACATGTATATATATATTTATGTATGTATATATATATATATATATATATATATATATATATATATATATATATATATATATATATATATATATATATATATATATATATATATATACTCATTTTTTTACTTAGGGGGGGGGAGTGACACCGCGAAATGCCATACCGGGTCACACCCGACCTAGCGACGCCACTGAGTTGGTTTATAAATATCATGTTTGGTATTCATTAAACAATTACTACAAAATGTGTCAATACAAATATATTATTCTGAAGTCTAAATATATTATGTCTACTGTTTCTTAAATCGAAATTTGGGAAGTAAAATATTTTATCGACAATTGCTGAAAATGATGCAATTTAGTCAGGATAAATCAGGAATATATCGCTACTAAAAAATGTTGGTCTCTGTATTTAGAAACATATTCTACACCGGATTTTATCCATACATAAATAGTCATACTTTAAAATATAAGCATAATAGACGAGAATTCAGTTATAAGCCTTGTTTTTCCCTTTATTATATTTCAAAAACTATACTCTTAAATATAGATTTAAAAATTTAACAATATCCTTTAAAAGTAAATTGTCAGTTGAAACTATTTAAACCAGTAGGGCTACTTTGAAGAATACTTAAGTACATTTTTTTTCAGCTTGATTTTAAGAGTAAGGATATTGTTAAATTTTTAAATCTATATTTTAATCAATTAACTTGTATGAATTTTGGTAGAAGTCTAAGATATTTAGACTATATTTTAAATGTATGCATATCATCTTCAGCATATGATGCACTGCTTTAAAACTGTCTAATAGTGTATAAAGTGTTGCCTATTATATATTATCAAATAATTAATTTAAACAATCGACTTATGTTTTAGGCAGCTGCATTATAGTTTACTGCAGTAATGTAAGTCACACATATTCAATTTTGATACCATAACAATTATTCCCATTATTCCACCAAGTTGAAGTATTATTTTTGTATTTTGTTTTCTTTTTGAATTATTGAAAGCATTTAATTTTAACAGTTTAATTTCAGATCAACAAGTTTTGTTCATTCAAATGATTCAAATGATTCAAATTATTGTTATTTTCAAGTCAAAATATAGTCAGACAATGCTGACTTTGTCACATATGGTAATTATTTTAACTTGAATTCAGTCCTTTATCATGTTTAGAAAAAGTGTATAAAGTTTTCTATTTTTAAAATGCTTCTCATTATTTGTTAACAGTAATTATTTTAAATTGAATTAAATCATTCTATTATTGCTTACACACAAATATTTTAAATTAAATCAGATACTTTAAATATTGTGTATCGCTGTGTTTTTTTTTTTATAAAAGTATATTATTGTTATCAATAATTAAAATACTTCGCATATTATTTGTTTTAAAATACAACAGTTAAACTCTATTCTCGAGCATGACTTCAGATCTCAAAGATGAGTTGTGACAGCTGTGTGCATTTGCTCTGAAAACAAGTCCTTTTGAACAGAAAACTGACTACATTTATGATAAGTTTTTGAAAAATTACAAAAGTATCAGCTTACATTGATCAGATATAAAGGAATAATTTTAAAAGTTTACAACTTAAGTTCGGAAATGTAACACAAAATATGAATATAAATATTGTACACACAATTTATTAATAACTGAAAGACCATTACAAACTTAACTTAAAAAATAATTCAAATTAAAAAAAAAACTGTTTAATATAGGAAAATATATAAAATACTTTTAACTTCTTTTTTTTGTTTCAATGATTAATTTGTATTAACTTGTAGGCCTATGCATCTTACAAGACAATTGCAGGTTTTCAATAAAACACGTTAATTATCTACAACAACACACGCCATGGGAAATTCCAACAAAAAGCCAAAGATCTCAACAATTGCAGGTAATGAACAACTTTATTGTACTTAAATAAAGTAGGCCTATTTGTTCAGAAATTGAAAGGAGAATTTATTAAATCCTCTATATATGTATGCTAATCTAACAGCACAGTTATGTTATATTATCGTTTTATATTATCAGAAAAAAAAGTAGAATGTTTTTGTTTATTTTAATGGATTTTTGTTAATATATCTTCCTGTAAGTAAGGAAGTCTGAAATACTAATAGTCTTTTTTTCAGATTTAGTACATATAAATCTGTGCTAGAATAAAAATAGAGTTATTAAAATAATAAGTGACTTTCATTTTAGAAAATATGTTTCCTTTGTACTGTGAGAAAACCATGTCTAGATTCTTAATATTTTTTTCTAAAGATTTATCTTGCTGTGAAAACTCCAACAAAGTTGCACAAACTTGCCCAGCAGGTGTGTTTTGTCCAGGTAAGAAACAATAAACGTACGCTGAACACAATGTACACAATTATACATTTGATCTCGTTTAAATAAAGCATAACTAATTAGCCAAATAAAATAATTTTATATCATTTTTTAAAGCAATTTTAGTCGTTTCAAATGTTTTGTTTCCCTCTTCCTGTAGGAAACCATGAAGCTGAGATGTGCTATGGAGGAGAAGCTGATCTACACAAACATGTTACAGGCTGTACAAATAATCCAGGCCACACAGGTTTTATACCACTTAAAGATTTCAACGCAAGTTGTCTCCCCTCGCGTTTCCATGACGACGAGCTCATGTCTGAGACAATCAAAACATTGGCAGCCCTAACTGTCCAGGTAAAGACTAAATTCACCAGTCTAGAGAGACCAGAGTTTTACCCAGGCACTCAAGTTCCATATCCATGTTATAAGGACAGAGGAAGTCACGTGATGAGGTTTGGGACAGGGATGGTGTGCTACACAGAGAATGACAGATGTGGAACTTGTCGTTGTGCCAATTGTCAAGTCTCGGCCACACCCAGCAAAGTGTGGGGGGTTGTTGGTTTGGTGACAGCCACACACGTGGTGTTTGATGACAGTGAGACCAGACGGACCAGGTGTGTTTTAGGTTTTGATGACAATAAACGTCCAGTGGTCTGTCTTTATGGCTGGAAAGTGTGGTGGGCAGACATTGATAGAGACAAATGTCAGTTGAGACATGTGACATGTGACTTAGAATTGATTGATGAACTTGATAAGAAGTGTGAGCGCTTTCATTATCTACTTGAGAGGGTAAGGAACAAATACAGGAGATTTGTTGATGTGGACAAGGCGGCCGTTATAGTGTCACATCCTCATGGCTGTCCTAAACAGGTCTGTGTAGGACGATGGGCATACAAAAAAAAGATTGGTATCGGGATCAGGTATTGGTACACAACATGTACATATCCATGCGCCATTGCAGCGTTTGTCTACATGTTGGGAAATGAAAGGTTCGTATAAGTATGCCTATCGCCATCCCAACATTCTTTGTTGTAAACATTTCATTACATTTAAATGATTAAAACAAATCTTTTGATTGATTTAAACCGTTTTACCGTCAAAACTTGCATCTACTTTAATGTATTTTACGCACTTTACATGTTTAATGTTTTTAAAATATTTTACTTTGTAAGAAATGCTGGCAAAATTGTTGATCTAACCTTACCACACGAATTGTAACTTTACATATTTCATTGCATGCTATTTGTTTACATATTTATTACATACTAGAAAACAAATTTTCAAAATAACAAGAAATTGTTTTCTTGCTGCTTTCATTTTTATAGAGTGATTCGGATGTTGGCTAATTATAAAATGTGCAAATTGTTGTCCAACAAATAGTAATGCTAGTTTGTCGCTCTGATAGACTGACACTTGTGTAAACATTTTCTTTATTCTTATTTCTTCTAAACTAGGCATGCTGCCCAGCTTCGCTTAGGCTTTCGAAAACATTAAGAATTTGAATGCTTAATTAATTCGCCCGAGGGTCGGTCTACGACCTCAGGAGTTATGAAGAGGTTCCTACGTGGACATTTTTTTCGATTTATAGCTCATATAAGGCGCCGGTCAGTCGAAGTCAGTTTTGACCCCCCTCATGGAAGACTTTTCGGCCAACCGGCCCTCGTGTTCTGTCGCCCCAAGGCAAGATCCTGCCAAATTTGAAGCGTCTGCCGCGCCGGGAAGTGCCCTATCGGGCACCCGACAACTTTGCTTTATATATTATAGAGATTAGCAAATTGCATAGATAAACAAAGATTTCAATAAAGTAATTAAGGCCTGAAATACTTAAGTATAGAAATGTATTATTTGAATAGATTCTAGATCTAGGTAAGGTCTACATCTGTGTAAGTCTAGTTTTTCCGTAGATCTAGATCATCTAGATCTAGATCTAGAATCTTTAGATTTAGATGATCTAGAATATCTAGATCTAGATGATCTAGAATATCTAGCTCTAGATGATCTAGAATATCTAGATCTAGATGATCTGGAATATCTAGATCTAGAATATCTAGATCTAGAATCCTAAAAAATTTTTTTTTAAGTTTAGCCCGAGCAAAATTGTATTGTATAAATTTCATAGCGTACGTAGATCTAAATCAAATTTGAATGAAATAAAATAATAACCGTTTCAAGTGAATTATATTTTAAAATTTACTTGTTTGAGAAAAATAATTTATGAAATAGTTATTGGTCAAAACGCAATGTGCTTTACTACACGCTGAACGATATTAGTGACAAAGCAAAGAAATAACTAATTAGCTAAAAATCCGACACATTTAACATAACACAGGCACACACTGATTAAGTGACTTATATGATTCCGTTAAAAATCTGGCTATTTAAATCCCAAATTAGCCAGTTCCAAACAAAGATCTTGTATAAAATAATTAAGTCTTGAAATAGTTTAGGCCTAATATAGAAATTTATTTTTGGAATAGATTATAGAGTAGTTAGAGTCTAAATCTAGATCTTAGCGTCTACGTCTGGTTATTGCGTAGATTTAGATCTAGTCTAGATCTACAATCTAGAATCTCTAGATCTAGAATCCAAATAAATAAAATAAATTTTATGAGTTAAGGCCGGAAAAATTGTATTGTATACATTTCATAGTGTACGTAGATCTAAATCAAATTTGAATGAAACAGTTCATTTCTTTTTATTCTAAACACGGCAGATGACGTCATTAGTTAATGTATAAGCATTAGTGACGTCACAGTTTTATGCGTTCTTTTTCACATCTATTAATACTTTTCGTGTTTCATAATCAATATTGTTTTTCTACATTCGAATACGCCTTTATTTTTTATTTTTCTTCTTTAAATAAAATTGTGGTTATACATTTAAAACATCTAACATATTATTTTCAACAAAAGTCCGTATAAAGGTATCCATATATTGCTGCCGATTCTGACGTGATGTCCGGCGAAAATAATTTGCGGACAGAGAGAGAGAGAGAGAGAGAGAGAGAAGAGCGCACATGGCCTTTTATATATTAGGATACTTTCCAACCTGTGCTGGAGCACTCGCATGTTGAAATGCAATCATAATCTTCTCCCATATTTTAAGGAACTCAGCCAAATATTTTAAGAGTATATCTTCAAAATAATTTATTATGAATTTTCAAAATTTTTGTCCGTTCAAAGCACTTAATTTTGATGAATTTTGGGGCATTAAACTAGTGTTTTTAATTGACCCACAAGGTTGGTCCAGTCCAAGTTATAATCAGCAAATGTTTACTTTAACTCATTGAATATATCCTCTCCGGTAACAGTGCCACACATATTATAAAGGGAAGCCAGCTCTTGTGTTATGTTCACGTCTTCATCCACACCTCTAATGAACAGACGCAGTTGCGAGGTGGAGCAGCTGTCCAGCAACTCATCCATTACAATTATAAAATGGCGAAACTGTCTTGCCTTTTTCGCTACATGAGTCGTAATGATTTAACCCACGCCAGCAACTCGGCTACTTTTTCAAATTGTTTAGACTTTTCTGGGCAAAGTTTCTTAGCGCCGTCCAACAAACTTCTGGTAATAATGTTTTGAATTGTTTTTGATCGGTTGGAAGACATAATGCACTACTGCACACCTGTATTTTAATTCTGTAAAAACACAACATCAATGTAAGCGGCTGATCTTGACAGGATACACGTAAATTTCCATATTTTTCTTAGACAAAAATATCTCCACGGCCCGCACGAGAGGGCCTTGCGGGCGGCATCCGACCAGCGGGCCGAAGTTAGGAGACCCCTAAATACAATGAGATATAAAAAAAACTACTACAGATTGTTTACCATTTTAATGAATACAATACGATAACAAATATACAGCTTTCTTATTGATAATTATTGTATAAATAGATGTCACAAAGTAGCACTACGTATCAATAATCAAGTTGTCATCAAAAATATATATTCTTTTATATCACATTTCCGACACGACCTCAACATTATAGCATGTTAGCAAGAGTTCTATTTTGTATAGTAACAATAGGGTAAAAACTAAAGGCCTACTGAAACATGAGATTATATTATTTTACTTATTTTCAAAGTATAAAATAACATGTTTTAAGACGGTTGGAAATTTAAAATTCCGTGAATTCCTTAATTATATATTATATAATAATTCAATCATTTTATTGTTAACATTTCGCAATTTGCTTTAAAAACCAATGGAGCGTTTTTATATTGTTGTTTGATAAACACGTTAACAACAAACGATCGATTAAACAAAACAAATTCTTGGTTGGTTAATTTAAAACGTTCGCTCATATTGTTTAATTCTGAGTAATCGCTTTTTAGCGATCAATACATATTTTAAAGAATAATTTCTCATTACATTCTTAAAATTAATCAAGAGCAGAGGCTTTAAAAATAATTTTAATTATTATCTACAAGTGTTTAACTTGCTGTAGCTTTCTGTAGCTTTGAGCTTACACTTAAACCTAAAGAGCGTATCAAAACAATGCAATATTTCAAGACGTTTGCAGTATTTGTACTTCTAAAAGCCGTAAGTGGCGGTGACAAATGGTTTAACGTGGCGCTCTATAAACCAGCTTTTCAATCTTCCGAGTTTGAGTCCAACATCGCCAATAGAGGAAACGACGGTCGTATGAGTGGCAACATGGGCAGTGGCAATTGTATCCACACATCGCTTGAATACAACGGTTGCTGGATGGTGGACCTGATGGCTGAATACAACGGTTGGTGGATGGTGGACCTAATGGCTGAATACAACGGTTGGTGGATGGTGGACCTAATGTCTGAATACAACGGTTGGTGGATGGTGGACCTGATGGCTGAATACAACGGTTGGTGGACGGTGGACCTAATGGCTGAATACAACGGTTGGTGGATGGTGGACCTGATGGCTGAATACAACGATTGGTGGATGGTGGACCTAATGGCTGAATACAACGGTTTGTGGATGGTGGACCTGATGGCTGAATACAACGGTTGGTGGATGGTAGACCTAATGGCTGAATACAACGGTTGGTGGACCTAATGGCTGAATACAACGGTTGGTGGATGGTGGACCTAATGTCTGAATACAACGGTTGGTGGATGGTGGACCTGATGGCTGAATACAACGGTTGGTGGACGGTGGACCTAATGGCTGAATACAACGGTTGGTGGATGGTGGACCTGATGGCTGAATACAACGATTGGTGGATGGTGGACCTAATGGCTGAATACAACGGTTGGTGGATGGTGGACCTGATGGCTGAATACAACGGTTGGTGGATGGTAGACCTAATGGCTGAATACAACGGTTGGTGGACCTAATGGCTGAATACAACGGTTGGTGGATGGTGGACCTGATGGCTGAATACAACGGTTGGTGGATGGTGGACCTAATGGCTGAATACAACGGTTGGTGGAGCTAATGGCTGAATACAACGGTTGGTGGATGGTGGACCTAATGTCTGAATACAACGGTTGGTGGATGGTGGACCTAATGGCTGAATACATCGTTTGGTGGATGGTGGACCTAATGGCTGAATACAACGGTTGGTGGGGAGTGGACCTGATGGCTGAATACAACGGTTGGTGGATGGTGGACCTAATGGCTGAATACAACGGTTGGTGGATGGTGGACCTGATGGCTGAATACAACGATTGGTGGATGGTGGACCTAATGGCTGAATACAACGGTTGGTGGATGGTGGACCTAATGGCGGAATTCAACGGTTGGTGATGGTGGACCTGATGGCTGAATACAACGGTTGGTGGACCTGATGGCTGAATACAACGGTTGGTGGATGGTGGACCTAATGGCTGAATACAACGGTTGGTGGATGTTCGACCTAATGGCTGAATACAACGGTTGGTGGATGGTGGACCTAATGGCTGAATACAACGGTTGGTGGATGGTGGACCTGATGGCTGAATACAACGGTTGGTGGATGGTGGACCTAATGGCTGAATACAACGGTTGGTGGATGGTGGACCTAATGTCTGAATACAACGGTTGGTGGATGGTGGACCTGATGGCTGAATACAACGGTTGGTGGACGGTGGACCTAATGGCTGAATACAACGGTTGGTGGATGGTGGACCTGATGGCTGAATACAACGATTGGTGGATGGTGGACCTAATGGCTGAATACAACGGTTGGTGGATGGTGGACCTGATGGCTGAATACAACGGTTGGTGGATGGTAGACCTAATGGCTGAATACAACGGT